GTAGTACCTGTCGGTCAACTCCAAAGTTTTAGTAAGCTATGCTACAACTTTTACTCGTTATTGCCACCAGTTCAGGCCTTCACAGTGAGGACCCGTCATGCTATTTCCACGGTTTCGGATCAGCCTCATTTCCTCCGTTTTTCAAATATAATGAGAAAACCTCACTGAGCTTTTGCTGAAATATTGCTGCTGCTGTGTGGATGCTTCCCTGAACATTGCAATCTTGACCCAACAAGTCAAGGGTCAAACTACTATCGAGTAGTTTGCGAGCCTTGCATTGTGTGAACTTTAGTATTAAAAACTTTAAACGGCGGGGATCAACAGCTGATGTTTCAAAGGGAATCAGCAGATATCATCAGTTAATGATTTAAACATTTTCCAACGATACGAGCATCATTCATTTATAATTTGATTCTAAATGATTAATTGACAACTCTAGGATTCCTATTTACTAGCATTCGTGGGGTTACGTCATTTCCGGGAGTATTTGCCTGCTAATAAAGCTGGAAGAACAAGACAAAGTGCTGTGTTCTGCGGTGTCTCGGGATCCCAGTGAAACATAAAACGGTATCAACGAAAATGGTCATTTATTTTTGGTATCCGTTTTATTAAGAATAGCAGCTTGCATTCTAAGACGCAGTAGGAACACTGACGTTAAAGGAACGCATGTCGCACATTGGCTCAGCCTCCTTCCGTCGGTGGCATTAGCCAGCCGCAAACCTGTAAGGCATATTGACGTTTCAGAATTCTTGAGACCTTCTGTTGAATTCGCTAAGGGAAAAGCCACAAATGGTACAAACTTGGCGCAAAGGTTTCCATAATTCAGTTGTAGATAAAATTCTTTGGCAAGTATCATAGCGTTGAGAAAAGTAAATTTAGTTCAATACTTATGGAAAGTTCACTCAGTGTTGTTATTTTTTTTCAATTGCTGATCAGGACTCTCGACAAAAAAATGACAGTATTAACCACAAAATACAATCTATATGTTAACGTTCAAATTTAAATTATACAGTTACAATTGTCTATCTCAATAGCTCCTCAAACTGATATTTATTGTACGAGTATGTACAAATATGGGACAGGCCAAAACTGGGGGATTGTGAGGGCTGGTCTTCGTCTGTCTATATATTTAAAATTAGCTAGCCACAATCATTCACCTAAACATACCATAATAATCCTTGCACCAAAGCAACACTTTTTTATTACCATTCTTGGTACAGCCACCATAATACCTCAGAGACTCTATAAAGTCTTAACTAGTCCCCATATGTACCACCCCAACGAATATTTACAATGAAAAACAATTTATTTGCAAGGAACAAAACAAAATAGTGTTAGTAATACCTAAATAATCCTTAAATGTGGCAGAAACATCAGTCAACTGGATGAAATTAATACGGGATTTTAAAAATTCAAACAATCAGTCACAACAACAACAAAAAAAAACGAAACTAGCTTCTCATAATAAAATGGCAGACAATTATGTTGCATTTTTGAATATAAAATTATGGTTATAGCAGTTAATCTCGCAAGCTATTCACAATAACGCTTTTGCAAAATATATATATATATATATATATATATATATATATAAACCCGCATATTGCTACAAACAAAATGAAATTACTACCGTATATCAACTTAATATGTAATAAGTATATTTATTGTTTAATTAATATATACTTATATTTAATTATATTATTGAATTACATCATCAGATATTAACGTCATATTCTTATTTTCATTCTTTTGTTTGTTTTTTAAGTTATTTTTAAGTTAATTTCAATATTTTTTAATATAACATTATTTAAAAGTATTATATTTCTATTTTACTTTATTTAATTAAAGAACATGATTAGTTAGTGTTAAAAAATATTAAATTTAAGAATCTAGCGTTTGTTTTATTTCCATTCTTTCTTAATTTTTATAATCTAAAATGTTAAAATATCATCTTTATAATTTTAGTATATAATTAAAGCGAAAAATTTCATAAAACTACCTTTTACAAATGAATTTTTTCGTTTTATTTTACCTGTTTGGCGTGTAGGTTCTTTTAAGCTTTTCCCGTCGTTTAAGGATTAAATTGGAAAAGAATTAAAACAAATATAGATAAAACATAAGTTAGCCCGTGTCAATAATATTTAGAGTGCTCGCAAAAGATCTTCCCGAACACAATACAAGGAAGGTTTTCATCTTGGAGAAACAAACCATGAAATGTGGAATAGAAGATCATGTATAGTCTCATGGCCGAATAGTTAGACCGTTTTCGATTTCTGACCTGGGTTTGACTCTTAACCATAGTCGATTTATTCGTTGAGATGGAAGCGGTCCCACTGCGTGGTACCTCTAGAAAGTTTCCTGAAAACCTTACCACGGTTTAACCGAAGAGTTGTGAATGAAATTGGGTGGATGGAACCGTGCGGAAGCCGTCAACGGTTGTGATCGCAGGAAGTCAGAAATCATTGTGACCTAGGGTTGGGGAGTACTGGCCGTCTTCAAAAAATTTGTCACGCTGGATTGTGCGTCTTCTTCTGTAACTAACTGCTCAGCATAGTTGTAGTGTAAGCTCAGGGTATGTTCTGTAGATTGAGGAGGCGTCTGTAATAGAGTTTGGCTAAACTCCCGGATAAGACTGGTGGATTCGAGTGGAAAACCGCCATTTTATATTATGCTGAAGTACATGTCTCATATTCTACGCGTATTCTTTTATCTCTCTCTCTCTCTCTCTCTCTCACTTTCTGGTATGCTTTTAAATTTAACTTAAAATCAAATTTTTCAAATTTCTTACATAAAAACACAATAAACTTATAAACTTAAAACAAAATCAAAAAAACATAATCAACCAAATCTGATCTTCCCAATGGAGAAAGGTAACAATTCTTTTTTCCTTCTTATAATAAAAAAAATATTTATATGACTTTTTTCTTTTCTAAATAGCAGATACGGGGTCATTGTTGACTACTTGTTCATTCTGTCTGTTTTTTCAAACTTTCTGCAATGGAATCCACCGTTTTTCGATCGCTAAATTTCCTGGTTTTATTTTGTCAACCTGTGATTGCAATTGGCAACTTTTCAAAAAAAAAAAAAAAATATTCGAGTACCCCGTTGTGCAATATCCTTTTTTTCTTGGTCTTCAATGCACGCATTGAGCGAGATAGAAAAAAATAATTATGTTATTTTTATCTGGTTAAAAAGAAAGTGAGAAACATAATACGAACAGAAGCGAGAGTAAACGGATTGAAATGTCGTCGATCAAAATGCAAGAGACAAGAAAAAGAGCACAAATAAAGAAATGTCCGATAATTTCGTCCATTTCTTAATTTGTCAGCTTTTATTTATTTACTTATGTATGTATTTATTTATTATTTAATTTGTCAGCTTTTTATTTATTTGTTTTTTATTCATTATTTAATTTGTTTGTTTTTATTAATTTGTTTATTTTTTACTTAAACTTTATCACTCTGTGACTTCATTTGTTTTACAAAAAGTTTATCCTGCCGATGAAGCTGACTCTGATCCCTAAACAATGGTGTATTTGAATTTCATAGTTGTGTTGCGATATCCTGCTATGGCAACAGAAAAATGAGTGAAATTAACAAGATTACTGCAATTGCGAGGCTTTGAAAAAAGAAGGCAGCGGAAAGGGAAGTAATATTAATAATGCAGAGTGCCAAAGGTTAATTTGTCTGATATTATTTATTTATCTGTTCTTTTATTTATTCTTTATTAAATTTTTCTGATTTTATTTATTTGTTTATTTCTTCTACATCGCATTTTTTATTGTTTTATTTCATATTTGAAATGCTTCTCTGTTGTCTAACGCTCAAAAATATGTCTCAAAATTGGATATTTTACTAAATTCAATAAAATTATTTTCCGGAAAACAAATAAAGAGGTTTACTTCTTCTACTACTACTACTACTACTACTACTACTACTACTACTACTAATAATAATAATAATAATAATAATAACAACAACAATAATAATAATAATAATAATAATAATAATGCAAAAGTACTAAGACCCGGCAGGGCAACTCGGAGAGTAGCAACTTAATTTGTGGGTAGCCCTTTTCGGGATTGTCTCCAAGATTCTCACATCTTCTCAAATGACGTCTTGCGGATACCTGATATCATTAGGAGTGCGCAGGTGACAGCATTGCTTGGGACAGCTCATGTGTTAAGGAAAGTATCGTGTGTCCAATATACGGGGAGGACTTGATATAAGATCATCATTCCCCAAACGTCGGGGAACATCACAATCTCAACAACAACAACAACAACAACAATAATAATAATAATAATAATAATAATAATGATAATAGTAATAATAATTCTCAAGAGAGTATTATCAATATTAGTGATAATATATTATTTGATATCAATATTATCAATATAAATAAATATAAACAATATACATGTTAATTACTTCTTAACATCAGAATCTGTGCAAACAGAACGCATATACTTACTATCTTCTATTTGCCTGAGTCTCGGCTAATGGCCCGGTAAGGGATTGTACTAAACAAAAGGAATAATAATTTATGAAACAAAGAATTGTATTAATGACTACGAATCACATAATTAGATTAAAAAAATATATTTCAATAGTATCATAAGAAAGAAAGAAATAATAATTTTCCTTAGGTCTCAAGAGAAAGATTTCTGTCCGGATCACTCATCTCCCCAAGTTTTGAATATGACTTTTTCCTTGTTATCTGTTTAGGATTGGGTTTCCGGTTCCTTCTAAAGTCTACTTCAAATATATACTTCTAACGTCTTCCCGTAAACTCTGAAATTTTATTTACTATTTTTTCAATTAATATGAGTAAATAGGTTTGCCTATCGCCCGGTTGACACCCTCCTCGGTCTTTTGCACAAGAGTAGGGGTTTACCCTTTGATTCCTATTTAGTATAAGGTTTCCGGTTCCTTCTAAAATCTTTTCATTCTCTTTCACGTCCATTGGCCTCTTGCGTTTTAGTGGCGTTACCGCTTTGCTTACGGTCATGTCACGTTGAAACACCAGTTCTCGTACAATCACCGAAGTTAAACAACGTCGAGCTTGGTTAGTACCTAGATGGGTAACTTGGGAATGCCAGGTGCTGTAAGCATGGATGTATGGGTGGTGTAATGGATAACCGCTCAGAATTGGAAATCGGAAAGCTGAGTTCCAAATCCAGTTGGGTTCGTTATATTTACTTACTCGCAAATACCCTTGGTAAAGGTATGAATCCACCTCTTCTTCCCCCTGCTATGGGTTAATCAACGAGATAAATAGTTTAATCAAAATTTGAATAAAAATATTGAATTCAGGTTTGGTTTGGTTTGTGAGTTATTTAATGCCGACAAAATTTTTATTGCTAGTAATTCTTTTTCCAAAAATGTATCGCTGGTAATATTTTTAAAAAGATGTATAGCTGGTAATATTTTTTTTCAAAAATGTATTGCTCGTAATAATGTATTGCGGGTAATAAGATTTTCTTCAAAGATTTATTGCTGGTAATACTTTTTTTACAAAAATGTATTTCTGTTATTAAAACTTATTTTTACAATTTCATAGTGTTTTCACCCGAGTTTAGCGGTTAACTATTTGCCCATAGCTGGAACCCTAACTGGTGCTACCACCCCGGATCAGGGTGGACCTGGGAACACCAGCAATTAAGAGATGATTCCACGCTCCTCAAAACCTCCTTGCTGTTGGACGTAGTTTATCGTGTTACCCGGGACGCAGATGTAGTTTATCGTCATACCCAGGACGAGTTAAATATCTTTTTTTTTTTTAAATAATGACAACATAAATCAATCAATCAATAAATAAAGAAGAAAAGTAAAAAGCTATCAACATTTTATTTTTATTATTATTTTATTATTAAACCATGACTATTCTGAAGCAAAACCAATAATAATAACGAAATAAATTTGAAAATACGTCCTCGTTCAAATTAAAATGTAACTTACAGTAAATAAATAAAAGGATAAAAGAATAAAATTATAGTCAAATGTTGTTAAATAAAAGTTTGAATATTAAATGATAGGGAAGGAAATCGACGATACTGAACAGTCAGGGGTAAACAAAATAATCATTTCGATTCGTAATGCCTTTCCTACAATTCCGAAAGTTACGTCCTTATTCAAAAAGAAAAGAAAAAAAGAAAAAAAGAACAATGCTACGCTTAAATATAAAATAAAGTAGAATTATCCATGCAAATGTATAAGTAATTTAACAAATACAGGGTAGTGAATGTTCTTAATATAATAATTCTTCGCCAGACATTTTTCTTAATAAATTTAACTTGCTAAATAACAATTAATTTAAAAAAATAAAACAATCTATATATACCACGACTTATCTTACAAAATAAACAAATATGGATTGTAATAATTAAAGATTATAAATGCGTAATAATATAACAAAAATTATGATACAATAAACAACGAAAAATATAAGAATAAATGGATAATTAATGTAATCAAAATTTCCTTTTTAAAATACAACATCGCTTTCTTTGATTAATGAAAAATCACGTCTGTTCACTCTGGCAGCTTTCGACACTACTAAGTGCTAATAGCGGGACACAAAGTAAAAATAATGATGATCTTCTCCTTGAAAAAATAACTTGTTAACAATATAAAATTTTGGCTGTGTTTTCATTTTTACGTTGTTATCCGCCATTTTCCCCCTGATTATCTGCTTGCCTCTGCCGCCATTTTTAATTTGTATGCTTGGTAACATCGCTATTATCTTTCGTTGTCAGATATGTATAGAATCTATTTGCGTGAGAAAATATGAATATATTTTAAATTATTTTTATCGGACTTATCATCCTTCAGGATATCTTCAGAAGCAGGTTGGAATCTATCAATTTCTTTCTTTTTCGCATCGATTATTTTTTTATAATTATATTTTTCGTTTTAAATATTTGTTACCTTCTGCGTGTGCATGTGTGGGGGGGTGAGAGAAAGAGAGAGAGAAAAGGGCAAGAATTCAGGCAGTTGTACAATTTTACGTGTTTATTTTTTTTATCTTTCTCGACATATACGGATCTAACCGAAGGCACTCTCTCTCTCTCTCTCTCTCTCTCTCTCTCTGTTTCTCTTTTTTACGTCCTCTCCCCGTATGTGTATCTGCCAGTATTTATCCGCTTTTCCACCATAACAGGATAGGAGATAAGGTCGGTTTATTCAGGTGTGCTCATACGCGTACATAGGCGCCATGAACAAATATTACTCAATCTTCACGACCGGTGTCACGCTGACGTCGATATCCCACAACCTTTTCTCATTACTGCAATTAGGGAGGTTCGGCTGAAGGGTTGTAGTTCCCGGTATCAGGCTTCCTCGTTGCTTTACCTTTGAATGCCCAAAAGCAAAAATATGACAGTGGAGACATATACTACACTTTGATCCGCTATTTACCTACCTCTATACAGTAGTAAGTTTTGACACAAGGTCGGTTTAACGTGGGGTGTCCATACGCGCATTAATAAGCCAACGAAAAACAAACGTCCAATCCTCGCGACATTTGTCACACTGCCGTCAATAACCCTGTTTAGTGCAATGTGAGAGATATTGCTGCAGGGTTGAAATTCACGGAATAGATATTACGCATAGCTCTAAGGGGAAGAAAACAGATAATACACGATAGTAACCTGACCTTCCAACTAAGGTCGATATGAGACAAGGTCTTTTTTATGTAGGATACCCATATGCATACATATACATATCGGTCAACGAGCAACTTCATTAGCCCCTGCGACAACTGTCACGTTGGAGTTCATATTTCACTGAGCCCACTTGTCTTAGTGCAACGATGAAGCTACTACCACAGGGTTGCAATCCCTGGAACCAGTCGCCTTCTCCCATCTCAAAATATTACACTTTCGCCTCAGTCCAAACACCGGGAAAACGAAAGCGTGTTTTCTGTATTTGTGTGTCTGTGAATGTGCATGTCACTGGTTATGCAGCCTGTTCTGCTTTAATTTGTAAAGGTATATTTGTGTGTCCTTATCGGTGTTTTAAATTCAGTCGGCAGCTAATTTAAATTTTTTTTCGACGTTTCTGTAGTGAAATACTCACTCGGCTAACTTCGCGTTTCTCAGAAAAGCTTTCGTCGATTTATCCTTAATGTATTAACATATTGGCAGACATTAAAATGTGAAGAAAGGCATTTTGAATCATGTTACATTAACTGCTTCAATTTTATACAAAAGCCGTTTTAGAGGGATAGTCTCTAGCCTGGACGTTTGCATGCAAATTCGGAGCGAAATTGTTTTCATGTAAATGTGGACAAAAAATCTTTATCCTCTACGCCTGCCTGCAAATTCGAACAAATTCTCTAGCACCTTCGTTTACATCCAAATTCGAACAGAAAACATCCTGCTTCTACGCCTGCATGTAAATTTGGATAAAAAATGTCGAGCCTCTGCGCCTGCTTGCAAATTCGGACAGATAATCTCTAGTCCCTTCGTTTGCATCCAAATTTGGACAGAACGGCTCCTGCTTCTACGTCTGGATGTAAATTCGGACAGAAAATGTCTAGTCTCTATGTTTACATACAAATTCGGACAGAAGATTTCTAGCCTCTGCGTCTGTATGCAAAATATGACAAAAAATCTCTAGCCTCTGCGTTTGCATGCAAATTCAGACAGTTAATCTCTATGCCTGCAAGGAAATTCGGACAAAAAATCTCTGATCTCTATGTCTGCATGCTAAGTCGAACAGTAAATCTCTAGTATTTACGTTTGTATGCAAATTCGGACAGAAAATCTCTCACCTCTACGTTTGCATGCATATTAAGTCAGATAATATCTAGTCTCTACTTTTGCATGTAAATTCGGACAGATAATATCTAGCCTCCGTGTCTGCATGCATATTCAGACAGATAATATCTAGCCTCTACGTTTGCATGTAAATTCGGACAGATAAATATCTAGCCTCTGTGTCTGCATGAAAATTCAGACAGACAATATCTAGCCTCTACGTTTGCATGCAAATTCGGAAAGAAGCGTAATTTTGAGTGAAGTATTTTGCTCTTAATGTTCCGAAAAATACTTATAAATCTTTTTTGGCCAGTGTTTTGCTATATATATATATATTTTTAATCCAAGGAATGATAACCTCTTTTTACCCTTGCACTCCAGACAAAATATAAAAATATTTATTGATTTTTTCATTAATTTTTTCTATGAATTATTATTGAAACAGATATTTTGTGTTTGTCTTCAAATTTTTCTGAATTTGATCTCAATGTCCAAAGAAAGAATTATTCCAATGTTGCACGTAGTTCAACATTGGAATAGTTTCGAGATTGATGAAAAATAGGCACTGAAGAATTAAAAACTCTACAAAGTCCAAGAATTTTACCGATTTTCTTTTTAGTAGGGTTCATAATATTTTATTGGAAAAAGAAATTGTGCTTCCATATCAGTTCTATCTCAATATTATATGTTATAATGCCACTAGTATTATTGGTCCTATTTCCACTATTACTTTAGTACGATTACTGAAGTTAAGCAATGTCAATCTTGGTAGGTGACCGCTTGGGAATACCAGGTTCTGTAATCTTAGATGTGCAGGTGGTGTAATGGATAGTGGCTCAGAAAAGGAAATCGAGTCGAGTTCCAATTCCATTATATCTACTTATATCGCAAATAGCGCAAATATCCTTGCGAAAGGTATGGATTCGCCTCTTCACCACCAATATATGGGCTAATTAGTAGGACTTGTATCAGCAAATTATTATTATCTCCCCAAAATGTTTACAATCTAAAAATATTTTCTGGCTCTAAATAAACAGCAAAAGGGATTGATAAGCCGTAAAAACAAATCACTGAAATCAATTTAAAAAGTTACTAAAATAACTACTGCTTTTTTTTTCAGCCAACCCTACTCCAGTTTATTCTATGATCAGTGATATTACTATAAATAATTATAACAGAAATTTTCTTCTTTTACGTACCATGTCTCTTCAGACCATGGCTCTCCACAACTTCTTAGCTTTTGTAAACCTAAACAATATGAAAAAAAAAAAAATTAAATTAATACAAAATTCTACGAGGACATTCCTGAAACGATCCCGGTCCGACTCACTTTCCAAAATCAGTATTTCCGTAAGAAATCATTGGAATATTGATTTCAGAAAGTAGGTAGGACCGATAATATTTAGAGCACCTTTCGCACTTATACTGTGGAATTGAATAGATAGGCCAGTATTTTTATTCTACTTGTCGATTCTCATTTACGCGCCTATTATTCCCCTCTTTACGCGCATATTATTCCCCTCTTTACGCGTCTACAGTTCCCACTTAATGTTCCTATGATTCACCACTTTACGCTTTTATTATTCCCTCTTTCTGTCGCTGTTATTCTTTACTTTATGCGCCTATCATTCCCAGTATACGCGCTTATTATTCATTCTTTACGCATCTGTTATTCCCACCTTACGCGCCTACTATTCCCCACTTTACACGCCCATTATTCTCACTTTCTGAGACTACTAGTCTTCATTTATATGCTTATTATTTTCCACTTTACGCGCCTATTATTCTCACCTTACGCGCCTACTGTTCCTATTTTATGCTCTTATTATTCCCACTTTACGAGTCTATTATTCCCACTTTACGTCCCTTTCATTTCCACTTTATGCGTCTAAAGCTGGTACATGACTCGTAAATCCTTAAATCCTTAGTTATATATATATATATATATATATATATATATATATATATATATATAAAAGAAATATGTTGTAGTGGTTCCAACGAGAGAAAAGTAGAAAGAAAATTCGGATTGCCAACACACAAACAGAATGTCTCATATCGAGAATATTCCACATTGAACATGAAGAAAAATTAATTATTTTTAATAATATGTAAAAATCTCCACTTTCACCTGAAGACGGTTGCGAGACCAGACCAGAAACACGTGTCGTGAAATTATGTAAAACAAAGTATAATATTTTTTCTCAATAAATCCACATTACAACCAAAAACGTTTGCGGCACCCTCTTCTTTTTAATATATATATATATATATATATATATATATATACATGAATTATTCACAAAACTAATGCAAAGGTTAATGCTTTAAATGGCGAGACATCCATCATCGCAAACAATTCAAATAGTATACAAAAACCTCCAGATCCGTTATGAATGAAATGATCCTTGTTTATATAAATTTCTGCCGTATTAGTTGTTATTTTTACTACAAGCTTTCGTCTGTTCCTACAGACATCTTTGAATTGTTTGAGATGATGGATGTCTCGCCATTTAAAGCATTAACCTTTGCATTAGTTTTGTGTGAATAATTCATGTATTTGTAAATTGATTGCACGTTTATCGTAATATATATATATATATATATATATATATATATATATATAGTAGTAATAATAATCTTATAAGTATAAGAAATTATACTCGTTCGGAAAACCTTCAGTGTTTTGATTTGCAAATAATCAAACTAATACCAAAGAGAAAAAGGTATTTAAAAAAAGGAAAGAACCAAGGACATGTACGTTAGCTGAAAATAATCGTCAAGCATGCAAGTTAAAAAAAACCCCGAAACGAGTAGGCAAAATAACTAAATAAAGTGCTCGATACAGTAAGTAGAGAAAACCTTCCCTGACGATCCGCTTAGGTGAAACCTTGGTAGGTTTGTCTGGCTCTCTAGGTTTAACTATATATATATATATATATATATATATATATATATATATATATATATGGATGTGTGGGTGGCGTAACGGCTGTGGGCACGAAAGGGAAATATAGACAAACCTAGTTCAATTTTCAGCCGTGTCTGTTACTTTCGCACTAAAGCACTGGGAAAGATATAAATCCGCCTTTTCTTCTCCGACCCAGCTACGAGTTAAATAGAAGGGTTAACTGGGCTTTCTAGCCTTGGCTGGCAGCTATTCTGAGAGAATGTCAAGTCTGAATTCAAAACCTTGGGCAAAGCCAAATATTCGAGAATTACCTTATCTTCCCGGGAAAGATTCTCAAGATGGTATGCCACTTCACGGAAAATAAAAGAAAAGGGAATCTGTGGCGAGCCATGATCCTGAAGAGACATGCTATTTTTTTTAATTTTAAATTTTATTAAATATTAAAATAAAAAAAAGGTTGTTAGTACAAATAAGATGTCCACCAAACAATTTGAAACATAAAAATGAAAATTTTTATCATTATTTTTTTTACTAGACGTCGCTTTCTTGTGTCTTTTTTATAAATATTTTCATGGTAATATTTTCTTCTTTGGTATCTCGATCGTGGACTCTCCCGTCGTTGATCCACGCGGGCTGTTGACTCGTGCCTACCGGGGGAAACTTTTACGATGTATGAGGGTAAGGCAACTCAGTTCCTAGGAACCGACTGCCAGAGAACCTGCACATAAGATTTGATTATAGTGGTAAAGGCTTTGTGCAGAACTAACCACACTGTTTGAAGATCCGAATACAAAGACATGGTACACTGTATGCCACAAGTTCCCCAAACGACTTCGAATTCAGAGTTGTCCTTCTCCTAGACCAGGGACAAGAAGAGGATTCCCAAGGGTATTAGCACGTAAGTGAATATAATGGATTCGACTGAGATTCGAACTCCGTTCTCTCATTCCTCAATCCTAGTCGCTATCCATTACTCTATTGTGCCTCCTCGATAGCATGAAGTTAAACGCATTACTAGATTGGCAATTAGGTCTCGTTGTTTTAATATTAAAATAGCTGGAGTTAACCGTAACTTATCTTCTTTTCTCGCCTGTGAAGCTCACTTATGGTATCTTGCTTCCCTGTCACCTATGACGCTCAAAAGTTTAAATCCTATATCAATCACCAACTTCTGTCTTCCTGAAAACTGTTCAGTTATTGTCCTACCTGTATCGTTTCCGAGTGGCATTATCACCTTGCTTGGGGTGAAATGATTACTTTGACATTATTTATTTTGTTTATTATCGCAAATTCCAGATCATCATTCTACGGCTTTGTAGTATGGATCACAAGTAAAGAATCAGCTTCTAGCAAGATACGAACCAACATCCATTTTTTTTATTCTCGAAAAGAAACTTGTCTAATACTATATCCAAATAAATAAACAGCAAATTCTCTCTGTCCGTCCGTATATCTGAAACCGTTCTATCTCGGGCCACACTTGCTCTACATAGATATATCATACCTTTTTACAATCAGGTTGATCCCAGGATTAAAAATCTGCCCTTTATCTGGCGCTTGAACATTCAGCATTGGGTTTTGTATCCGGATGAGGAGGGAAGAGTTTTAAAAGAGCTGAAAAAAATAGAGATTTTAAACTATTTTAATTTATATTGAGTTTAAAGTAACACTAACTCTTTGTGAATTTAAAAAAAAAATAATTTTTTTAAAAATTCAGTTTAAAATATCTCCAAATCTCTGTAAATTGAAGAAATCAATTTTGTTTCTTCAAAAGGCCAAGAAATCAGAGCTAAAGTGAGAGGTTTCATGGCGTGAGATTTTGAAGTTCCACAGAGTTTGTGTTTGAAGAACTCAACTCAATTGGAGTTCCACAAAGTTTGTATTTCAAGAACTCAACTCAATTGAATTTCCACAGAGTTTGTGATTTGAAGAACTCAATTTTCGGCCTGAATTGGAATTTCGGCTTGAATCGGTCTTTTGGCCGAAATTGGACTATTAGCCCGAATAAGTGTTAAAGTGAAGTGAATCGAAGAATTCAAAGTTATTTCTTCAAAAGTATCTTCGTTGTTTTCTAAGCTTGGCCAGAGGTCACTTTAGTTTTGTGTCGGAGGCCCAATTAGCCCTCCACATGATCTAAAGTTTGCATGGCGTGTAGCTTTTAAGCCAGTTTAATAATAAATACAAGATAATATTAAAACAAGCCTGGCCTCATAAAATACTTCAACACTTCACTCGATAATAATGTGGAATTCATTTTATTAACTGTTAGAACACTATTGTTGTGATACTGTAAACAACAATAAGCAAAACACTAATGCAATCGCTTCTAATCTGTTTCTTTTAAAACATATAAACTGGTTACATGTAACTTCAGCTTTTACCCGCCATTTTTCTCACTGCACACATGTATTTTTTACACCTCAAGACTGAACAAAAGAGATGCAGAAAAATTTTCGTCAATTTATTAGAACTTTTTACAGAATATTTCTCGCCAATGCTTATGAGTTATGTATTAGTTGATCGCAGAAATTCAATCCTGATTTTAAAATTAAAAACAAAAGGTTACATACTCACAAAAAAATTTATCAGTCAAAAAACAAAAGTTTACATACTCACAAAAAAAACATTTATCAGTCAGACAAAATTTTACATACTCACAAAAAAACATTTATCAGTCAAAAAACAAAAGTTTACATACTCACAAAAAAACATTTATCAGTCAAAAAACAAAAATTTACGTACTCACAAAAAAAAACATTTATCAGTCAAAAAACAAAATTTTACATATTCACAAAAAAATTATCAGTCAAGTACATAGTATCCATTGTTTTTATCAGCTATCTCCTATCGTTTCAGAAACTTGCTGATGCCATTTTCGTAGACGTAGAAACCTCGTGTTTTTTGTTGGAAGAAGGTTATGAGGTAGTTTTTGACTGACTGTACAAGAGTCAATTTTTTTTCAAATTGTTCTGTAGAGACCGGAACAAATGAAAATCCGGAGGATCTAAGCCATAGGAATACAGTGAGTGCTGGAGGGTTTTCCATTCAACTCTTTAAACTTCTGCAAGCTCTGTTGTTCAACAGGCGGTCTTGCGTTGTCCTAGTGGAAAATGACACCTTTTCAATTTGCCAAAATCGACCGTTTTTCATGAACCCAAGTCTCTTCAAATGGCGAAGGGCAGTTGAAGATATGGATTTTCAAACTCCATAGCAATCGCTACCGACTAAATCTTTAGTTTATTCTCTAATATAACAAGTAGAGAGTCTTAATTGACGTCAGAGGGTCGTCCGGTTGTGTGGTTGATCGTTTAGTATAAAATCACCTGAACGAAATCTACCCAACCTCTTTTTAACCCTCCGAAGAGCTGGACCACGATCCAAATAAGCCATCTGAATGTTTTGGGATTTTTTTTTTGGTGGGGGCGCAGTTCCGACGCTTACCCGTTTTCGAAGTTCGACGTAAGTGCGATTTGTCATCTTCTGTCTTTAAGACATTCATTTGCTGCCAAAACGGTAAAATTCAACAAAGTCCGCCTCGAAACTGAAGGAAGATTTCAAACTTGAAATCATCAGCAAAAATAAACGCCATTTTCAAGCTGCTGTCATTATATAGGGTGTCCCTAAATTCTAAACACATAGGCAAAAAATATGCTTATTTTCAAGAAATTAAATTTTCAACAATATTTTATTGAATTGGAATATTAACAAATAACATCTTCAATATGATTCCGATCATTTGTGATCCAAAATTTTATGGGCTTTGCAAGATTCACGTGAATTTGATGCAATAACATCGTCAATTTTAGCACATTCACTCTTTATGCGTTAAATAAAGTGTGTTGCATCTAAGATTTTCTATAAGTACAACTTCTCCTTTGGCATACCCTAGAAAGTTCTTTATTCTTTCGACAAAAGCATATTTAATCTGTGGAGGTAAACAAAATATAGTCAATGACATTCCCTATGTGTCTAGACTTTAGT